AAAGAGCACACTTACACGCGCATTCCTTGGTTCCGAGTTATTAGCAGATCCGTGATGCTCTCTTACTTGAGACAAATAAGAGAGTCCACATCTGCTCCAATTATATCAATTTCATATACCATTCTGAAAAATGATCTGCCTCCTTGGGTAACTTCTTGCTGGAAAGAAGAATCTTGAGGCAGGGTTCATACATTTCATCCTTAAAAAGAATATTTCTCATTTACAAAGGGAAACTTGTGGATTACAAGCTTATCTACGTCTTCCATTTGAGTTTTGTTTGTGGAAGTTAGCTGTCAGAAAAACTTGTATCTAGGGGAAAATAAGAGCATATTAGCCTCTGGGTGGAAGATTCTTTCTGCACTTATTTCACAGTTATCATCAGAGATTCTGCTCTGAAAGTGGCTTTACCTTCTTCAGCTATTGCTGATTGTGCTGGGTTGTAATGCTCTTGAGCTAACTTCTACAAGGCAGGTTTCACAATTTAGGAGCTTTTCCTAGGCAGAAGCTAGGAAAAACGTGCTTTTGTAAAAATCTGTATTTTTCCATAAACTGCAGAATAATAACCGCGAGGTGTAGCAAGGGTATGAAAAGCATTTTGTGGTACTCAGGTATCCAGCAGTCCCTTTCCAGGGCAGAATAAACTCACCTGATCCAGACATATATACACCCTCAGATCAGTACATGTAGATGACCTTCAACAGTGAAGTCAGCAGCATCATGCACTTCTTATTATATTTCTCTAAAATCTATATAATATTCAGAAAACGTCACATTAAACAAGACCAAAATGTCAATGTTTCCAATCCTTACTAATTGGGTCACTGGGAGTATTACTTGTCCTCTTTAACTCGCATTTATTTGACATCTTTAACTCCCATTTTCTGTATCTAAAAAATGTACTAGGAGAAGGGAAAGGTGAGGATATACCACAAAATGTACAGAAATATTGGAAGGATTCAATGAGATGGCATATGGAGAGTACTTAGATAGCATGCCTTTATCAGAGTAGGTTATTATTGAAGGATACATGGAATTATTTTGATATAATCACAACCACAAATAGTGAACCCCACTAGATTATTCACTCATTTTTTATTAGTCACATAACTTGTGAAAATCCTGGGGGATTGTGCAAGATGAATAAAACATGCTTTCTGCATTTTAAGAGCTTGTATGCCACCAGAAAGCAAGGCATGTAAACTAATAACTATATTATTGTGGTGGTTGCAATAAAGCAATTGCAATAAAACCCAGTGCACGCAGTTGTGTGTGCAAGTCTGCACACACACGTACTCCTTCATCCAGCTCTTCCTGTCCTGTGATAGAAGCTTCCTGAAACTTGGGGGAAGGGCTATGGAACTCGAGGAGCTGCACAGTGATTCACGCAGGCTCTACATACATTACTCAAATTATCATGAGCCAATGGGGTGAATGGAATCACATCACTTTTCAGACAAAAGCTTGAGTCCCTATGGTAATTATGGTTTCTGGCTACGTGGTATTTTTCCCGTTCTCCTGCTGAAAGACTTCCTCCATCTGCAAACAGCAGTGGACTTTGTTAATCAAGGGATGTGTGACTGGATAGGAAGGGAAGGGAGATGGTCCAGCTTGGGACAATTGTACTCACTTCCTAGGATTTTGTGATAGAGCTAGCCATAGGCTCCTTCTTCATTTTGACCACAAATACTATGGATGCAATTCCAGAGCTGAAGATTGCTTTGTTCATGCCACAGGAAGAGTAAAAGAATGCAAGGAAACATCATAAGGAAGAGAAAGAAAATTGTGTTGGAACTAAGCTTTCTGCTCCAATGTTGAGGTCCATTAACCACGCATTCTTCCCGGTTTTGTGAGGCATCTGTTTCGTTTTATTCAAACATTAAATCCTGAAATCCAGTGAAAAGTTGAGCTTTTGTCAATTGCCATCTTAAGAATCCTAATATAAAATATGCAAATGGGTGGTGCCTATGGCTCAAGGAGTAGGGCGCTGGCCCCATATACCGGAGGTGGTGGGTTCCAACCTGGCCTGAGCCAAAAACTGAAAAAAAAAAATGCAACTGTTGTGGACAGACCTTGGATTTAGACCATGTCTGCTAGACTTTAAAGTTTTTGAGTTCTCAATTCATATTATTTTATATGTATATAGGCTCCTGGAATTTTCTGTAGCCACCATGCTTTCTTCTGTCTATATTGTGTTTTAGATAACCTTGAAGTGACTGATGTAATTGTTCCCCTCAAAACACTAATAACAAAGTGGATTTTGGGGGGGGGTCTATGAAGAATTTATCACATTCAGAAAGACAGTAGAGAGAAGGGGCTAAGTGCATGGGCTTAGGTGCTACTATCTCTGAGTTCAAATCCTGGCTCTTCACCTTTTCAATATCTGGATAGACCCACTTGAGTGACTTAGCTTCTCTGGGTCTTATTTTGTTCTTCTGTCAAATGTTGATAGCTGTATCTACCATGGGGTTTGCTGTGGAAATTAAAATAATGCACATAAAGCATTGAGTGCCTAGAATGTGATAAATATGCAAAGAATGTTGGTGGTTATGATTATCTTGGAGTATTGATTTTTAAATATATCTAATGTCTTTTATATAGCCAAAAAGAAAAAAATAGACTCTTATCCTGAAAACTCAAAATGGAAACTAGATAATAGAAAAACATCTTGGAATGTGGGGTGGAGTTCCTCACTCTCATTCAACTGTCCTTTTAGACACCTCCAATAGACAATAATATGATATATTGAACTTCTATTCTGTACCAAGTACTGTGCTCAGGATACCTGCATTTTTTCTGTTATTAGTGCAGCGATCTTGTGAGGGTGGATATTATTGTGTTCCTATACAGATTTCTTTATTTTACAGATATTAAAACTGAGGGTCAGAAACTTGCCACGTCGCATAGTCAGTAACTGGCAAAAATAAGGTTGGAGTCAGAGCGGCCTACTGGCCCTCACCCACTACCATGTTCTTTTGTTTCCCACAAAAACCTATGCCCTGACAGAAAACCGTGCTCTTACATGACTAGCCTTAGAGATTCCCACTATCTGGGTTTAAATCCACCATTTTTCCCTGAAATTAGAAAGTGTTGGTGTACTATTGGATTTCATCCAGAAATCCATTTGTAAAACACTTATTTTTTATGTGAGTTTGAAAATATCTATAGTATTAAATTATGTAAGATGTGAGTCCAAGGATGGTGAGTCCGGTGAGATGGGTAGAAATGTCAGGCTATATAAGCCAAGCAAACATCAGGCATGATTATAACAGAGATTTCATTAACAAGCAAATAATAAAATGCTTCGATTACTTTAAATGAGCAAAATTTTACTGAATGCTTATTTTCTTTGAGTCAATGTTTAGCATAATAAAATCACAGAAAGCTTCTGAAAATTCTTAGTGGGAAGATTTCTGCTTCCCCCCAAAGCCAGACCATTCATGATATTGGATTTGGGGAACGTCATAGAGTAAATATTCTGTTGGTGGTTCTCTTGAAAATCATTTCCCCCCTTACTATAATGAATTCTGCTATGGGAGGAGACTCTGGTATTCTCTTTTCCCCTGACATCTGGAAACTTCTCAGGGGGGAAACATTGGATGAAAAGCCTCTCTCCCACTACTAAAGAGGTGGTGGGAAAGAAACTTCTGGAATTCTAGTGTACATGAAAAATCACAACCTCTATGACCCCTCTCTCATTTCCCTGACCCAGGCCTAAAATTTGGAGCAGATTTTTATAGGAGAGTGGGAATAGTCAACAAAGATGCCAATCTTGATGAGAACAAAGATCTCTGATCCAGAGACACAGATTCATTGAAATGAGACAGCTAGCAGAATAGATACCATGATTATACTCCTTGCCTCCTTCTGAGCAACTTCAGTGGCAACACATTGGGTAAAGTAAATGAAAGCCGAGAATACGGAAATCTGTTGATGCAGGCTACACAAGTCAGCCTCTCAAAGTAAGGAGAAAAAAGAAGATGGGTGGATAGTGGACTGGAAGAAGAAATGAGGGCAAGCTGACGTGGACGGTGGTTCACAGGTGCACACACACACAGTGAAAATATCTCCTTGCTAGTTATTGATGCAAAATTCACTCCTTAGCTACAGTAAAGGAATTTTCCTATTATCAGTGAAGCTGGATTGGGTGGAAGGGTTATTTTAATACAAATTTAGATTTATTGCAATTAGTTATAGCTGTAAATCAGCCAGGTAGAAAACCTGAAAGCTAAGTTAATTTACTTTTAGAACTCTGCGAGTAATTGCATGAAATGAGATCACAGTGTAACAATCTCAGTAGTTTTCCAGGAGGCAATTTCTGTCATGACATGATTAGAGCTGGCAGTCATAGTGGGTAGAGTTCCAAGGCAAATGATCAGAAATACAACCTACCTCTGGTCCTTCAGTCATAGAAACTTTCCAGAGTACCCAGACATTTTGCATAGGTTTCCATAGATTAACTTCTGCGATCTACAGTGGTCCTCACTGTACGGTGAACCACTGAATGCTAATCGTGACGATTAGTCTGAAGAATTTAAATGTGCTTCAAAGAAAATTCAGACACCTAATCCGTCAGTGTAGGAAAGATGTGCTCCTTTCTGAATATCGTACATGGCTGGAGGTTTGCATTAGAACAGGTATTTCAAGGTTTTTGCCAAAGGGGACTAAGTTTCGGAAGCTATACAGTTACAGGTACACTGAGTTCACTGTTTTCAAGATGTTCAGGCTTTTTTTGTATTGTGTGAGATTCACTGAGGGTACAAAGAATTAGGTTACACTGATTGCATTCGTTAGATGAAGTTCCTCTTATAATTGTGTTCTACCCCCAAGAGGTGTGTCATACACCATAACCCTCCCCTGCCCCTCACTCCTTCCCTCCTCACTTCTCATCCCCCAACTCTCCCCCCTTGTATTGATTCATTTACTGCCTTCCTATTAGAATTGAGTACATTGGATTCTTGCTGTTCTTTCTTTTCTTTTTTTAATCAGGAAAAAGATTTTTTCTTTCCCAAAATTTCACCAATATAAAGCAAAGCTCTAGTTGACCGGAGTGTGTTGTGGAGGTGTTAGCAGTGCTGCCCTCACTGTGTGCTCCTTGGACAGTAGCGCAACCCCAAGGAAAGGATGGCTGGATTCTTGCTTTTCCATTCTTGTGATGCTTTATTAAGAAGAATCAGATACGCAGATAATTTGCCAAAAGGATTATGGGAGAAGTGAAATAGCCACCATTGCCCCTGTGTTTGAAGGTGTGACAGACCACCTGGCAGCTTGCTTATTTGAAGTAGCTGTAACGTGGAAGGTGTCAGCATCCCCACAGGCATGCCCTGGCCCACTGTTGGAGGAAGACTGTACCAAAGGAAAAAGCTTTCAGCTCTTCCTCCCAGCTGAGACTCCCTGACCCCAGGTAATGGGGACACCTGTATTACCAGTCCTTGGAAGGCTTAACACTGCTTATTGAAACCAACAGCGATATAACCAGGGAGAGAAAGGGAAAAATCCTTTGACCTCAAAAGGACTGTAATACAAGGAAGGTTCAAACAGGAGTAGCAAAGGATTTTGGAGAGAAATTGCAGTTTGAACTCTGTCCTAGATCCTGTGAGCATATGGCCGATTTTCATACCTTTTAATGTCTCCTTGCTAAATTTATTCAGAGACTTCCCATGTCACTACTTTGGATCTTACATCTCTGTGATCACCTTTCTATAGGACCCTGCTATGAATCTGTCTAATTTATACCGTGGGCCTTGGTGATGCCCTGGGACTTCTGGTTTGTACCCTTGTAACTTGGGAGGATAATTCTGGATGAGATGATCTAATGTCTCCCAGACTTTCCACCTGACTTTTCCCATAATGCTTTCATAGTTTTGTTATATTTAAATTTCATCGATACTATTATTTAATATTCTTCTTTAAATCTACTATTTTTGTTTAGCTTATGCTCAGTAATATTCACAAAATAAGGCTTTGATATGCTAGCTATGCTTCTTCTCTCTCATACATATTAAAATAAATACACCATTATTACAGTAAAAGTATATTTTCATGTGCCATGAGTTATATACATGCTGTACTGTAGAAAACACTAGGCTCGGCGCCTATAGCTCAACGGGCTAGGGCGCCAGCCACGTACACCTAAGGTGGCGGGTTCGAATCCCCAGCCCGGACCCGCCAAACAACAATGACGGCTGCAACCAAAAAATGGCCGGGCATTGTGGCGGGCGCCTGTGGTCCCAGCTACTTGGGAGGCGGAGGCAGGAGACTCGCTTGAGCCCAGGAATGGGAGGTTGCTGTGAGCTGTAATGCCACGGCACTCTGCCCAGGGGGATAGCTTGAGGCTCTGTCTCAAAAAAAAAAAAAAAAAAAAAAAAGAAAACACTAACTACTCTTGGCCACTCAGTAACAGCTTTTAGAAAAGAGCCATTTAAAAAAAAAAAAGGAACCTATTTTTGTACATTCCAGATGATTTAGAGACCTGGAACTTAGTTTTCAAAATCATTTGAAGCACTTTATTTTGATAAGAGGGCCATATGCCCAATGAACAAATCTTTCTAACAATCATTGTGTTTATGATTTGAACACTAGCATTTCTTCCTGAGAATATGGAAAACAAATTCGAATAAAAGAAATTTCTAGAAGCAGTATAAAAGAAAATTGAAATGGCTTTTTGGTTATAAATTGAGATGGGAGGCAATTCCTTGGTAATTTTCTTGGCAGATACGGAAAGCAGACAAAAGAGAAAACAAAGGGCAGAGAACATCAATATGGTGGAATTGCTAATGAACCTTTATGAATAGAATATACATACAATCAGAAATTTTAAGTAAGCAGCATTACTGCAGTATAAACCTTACTATTTCTTTCCCAACTTTTTGGTAAATTCTATTAAATTTCTACTAAATTCTAGTAAAACGCCTGGTGTGAATGGCCTATATATGTAGATATACGTGTGTATGTTTCTGCACATGTGTGTGAATCAAGAGAAAAGTTAGGAATCTACATCTGGATTTCTATCTGGGATATTGTGGCCTAAACCACAGATACCCTTACTTTCAAATTATTTACAATGCTGTTTTCTCTTACCTTTTCATACTGTCCAGGCAGGAAGGCAAAGGTCTGTATACTAAAGGTGACAAAATATAAATTTTAGCAAAAGCTTATGCCCTTTAGGGAATCACTGAGGTGCTACACCTGCCCTGAGACTTTTACTTTCGGACTTTGTATGAATGGAATAAACAAACATCTAATTATATTGAGCCAAATATGGGTTGGTAGTTTGGTCATTTACAGCAAAATAAATCCTTAACTAATATAGAGAGTAAGATCATTCATCAGGTTAACGAATCAGAGCCAGTCTTAGCTTTGAGAATAGGAACCTTCAGAAACTGGTCCTTGTAGGTCGCTGCATCTTATTTATTTCATTTTTAAATCAACAAATTGTATGGTGTACAACATGGTGTTTTGATATGTGTATATGTTGTGTAATGGCTACATCAAGCTAATTATCATGTGAATTATTTTGCCTATTTATATTTTTGTATAAGTTAAAATCTAATCTCTTAGTCATTTTTGGTAAGTATTAAATATATTGTTGTAAACTGTAGTTACCTTGCTATGTGGTAGATTACTTGGAGTTATTTTCCACCTATCTGAACTTTTGTAACCTTTGACTAACTTCTTTCAACCCTACCCTCAGCTTGGCAGCCCTTGGTAACCACCTTTTTATTCCATTTCCATGAGTTCAACTTATTTTATTTTATTTTATTTTATTTTTTTTAGACTGAGCCTCAAGCTATCCCCCTGGGTAGAGTGCCATGGCATCACAGCTCACAGCAACCTCCAACTCCTGGGCTCAAGCAAGTCTCCTGCCTCAGCCTCCCAAGTAGCTGGGACTACAGGCACCCGCCACAACACCCGGCCATTTTTTGGTTGTAGCCATCATTGTTGTTTGGCGGGCCTGGGCTGGGGATTCGAACCTGCCACCTTAAGGTGTATGTGGCTGGTGCCTTAGCTGCTTGAGCCACAGGCGCCAAGGCCATGAGTTCAACTTTTAAAATTCAACATATAAGTGAGAATATGTAATATTTATCTTTCTGTACCTGGCTTATTTCACTTAACATGATGTTTTTCTCCAGGTTCATCCATGTTCACCAATGACAGAATTTCCTTATTTTTAAGACTAAATAGTATTCCATTTTGTATAAATAGCACATTTTCTTTACCCATTCATTGATTCATGGACACTGAAGTTGATATTTTATATCTTAGCTGTTGTAAATAATGCTTCAATTATAGGCATACTGGTGCTATTATTATAGACATGCTGATTTCATATCCTTTAGTATGACTATACACCCAGTAGTGGGATCACTAGATCGTTGCTACACCACTACCGGTAGTTCTATTTTTAATTGTGAGGCACCTCCATAATGTTTTCCATACCGAATGTCATAATTTACATTTCTGCCAACAGTGTACAAGCGTTCCCTTTTCTTCCCATCCCAGTCACCACTTGTTATCTGTTGTCTTTTTGGTAATAGCCATTCCTATGGGTGTGAGGTGATACCTCATTGTTTTAATTTGCATTTCCTTGACGATTAGTGATGTTGAACATTTTTTCATATATCTGTTGGCCATTTGTTCTTGTTTTTTGAAAAATGTTTATTCAGTCTCTGTGCCTAGGGGAAGTCATTGCATTTCTCATGAATAAAGAAATGGGGCTCAAGCATTAAAATCAAAGCATGCCTTATGGTACAGAATTAAAGTAACTGCCTTCTGGGTCCAGACGTTTTTCTATTCTTTTTTCTAAACAAATGTGAAAGATACCTGTTTCACTAGAGTACAATACAAGAATAGAAGTGGAAAGGAGCTACTATCTGTTAGTACTAACACTTCTCCACAACTCTGTAATGGAAAGGTAATTATCTTGTTTTACAGAGATAAATACTGACTTTCAGAAAGGTTGGAAATGTAGTCCAGGATGATAGAACTCATAGGTGGTAGATCTCATTGAATCCATTCTGTTCTACCTTTTCTTCCCAACAAGCCACTAACACTTCTGATCATCAGAATCACCAATGATCAGCACTAAGGCTCATGGTCAGTTTTCAAATCTTTTCTTCCTTTATCAGAAATATTTTCTACAGTTGATCATTTCAGCTGCCTTGACTCTGCATCACACTTGACTGGCTTTTCTCCTGTCTCATTTATTATATTTTTAAGTCTCTTTTTGCTGGTTTCTTATTATATGCAGAGCTTTAGAACAGGGGACTTAACCCAAAGTTTTATCTGTGGACTCTTCTCTCCTCACACTCACTTGCTTGGAGATGTCCTTCCATCTGTAAGCTCATTGATAACACATTTATGTCTCTTTCCTAAACTCTTCCTGACTCTTCCAACTTAAGCTCAGATAGTCCACAGAGTAGCAAGAAATCCATTTGGGTGTCTAAGAAGCATCTTTTTCTCCTCTTCCAATGAATGGTGATTCTGTCTCCTTAGTTACTAAGCCAATAAGAGAAATTCTTAATTTTTCTCTGTTTCTTTTGTTTAATTATAAGACATAATGGTTCTTCTCTGAACATACTTGGATGTACTCAGGACTCAATCACTTCACTTGTATTGCTGCCTCATTACTAGTTTGCTCATACCTCTTGAGAGAGCAGTTGCTGTAGCCTTCCAATTGATCTCACTTCCTTTGCCTTGATTCTCTATAATTCAGTTATCCCATTGCTTACATGGTGATTACTTCAAAACGTATTCCCACCCGCATACCTCTCTGACCTTACTGGTAGCATCCACACCAACCGGGTTATGTTTATCCTTGAATGTACCACGTGCTGTCAGGGAATTTGCATCAGGTATTTTGTCTTTCCAGAATTCTCCCCAGATTAGTACACAAATGATTACTTCCTAGTTTTTAAAAACAGATTCTCATTCATTTCAGCAATGTCTTCCCTTACTCTTAGTAAAACAAATGCATTTTGTCTCATGTCTGACACAAGCACAATCCATTTATTGCCATGTCTTTACCTCATTACTCATCATCATATAATATACTATAAAACTGACCTACATTTTTGTTCATGATATACATCTGTGTGCTGAAATGTAGGCTACACAATGGCAGAGTTTT